GAAAGCGCCAGTATAGCGAGAAATTACGAAGTTCTAGATGCGTGAGGGCGTCTGAGTTAATTTTAGGTGTAATAAATAGACGTATCTAAATACAGGGCTATTTAGAGACACAGTGCTCGACTTCTATTGCATTGCTCAATTCTTTTGAACTGGGCGATTTGCATGTCGGCAAGTTCAAAAACGCTTATTCACACTGTTTGGCGTTGTTCTGCCCAAACTGTTAAAGAACCGTTACTCACCATTAGGGAAGACAATGGCACATCCATCACTGCGTCATTTGCATGAGCAGCATGAAGGTGCCGGAATGTGTCAGCCCGATATCACCCCTGCTGTGGACCATGGGGTTATGGTAACAATCGTACCAAATATTAGGAAGCAATGTCATGACATGCTGATCTCACTATGTTTGTTCTTTTTATTTAGATCAACTATTTTTTGATTGCGTTATGAAACTTGAGATGCCTAGATCGAAAATGAAATTGGTAGCGGATGGATGAGGTAACCCGAGTCGACAAGGTCTATGTATTGCGCAAAAATTCCACAACAATGTATCAAATGTCTTCGACCCATGTAAAACAAGTGTAAACATTTGGCTATGGAGCACTATGGGGTAATACTGCAGAAGTCTATGTATATCTTGGGATTGTCGACTACAAAATAACATACTGGCTTTTCCAACGTTATACCTATATATCATATCTGAGTACTGCGTCAGAGAAGATTGATAATTGCTCTAAAAATAAGCATTATAAATGGAGGCGCCAAAGTGATCATTTGTAAGTATTATATTTAGTTGGAACATAGGTTCCACACCAATTCGCCACTTCAACGGGTGCGTTTGATTTGGTATATTTGAAAAAAGAAAGCTGTACTTATCAGCTAAAGTTCGATTTGCAACCCAACCGATAGTGTCTTCGCATGTATTTTTGCCTTTGAGTGTTTTCATTATTGCCAGAAGGTCAAATAAAGATTTTAGTTTTGGTTTTGGCTGTATAAGGTGAAAAAAACAGACTCTAAAAAATCGCGCTGATCCAGCTCACCTTGAAAACTTTGATAAAAACTATAAAATATATCGTGTATGTGGTTTTAAAAAATGTAAACCATGGAAACTTTTCAACAAACTTTAGAGGGTCTTTGGTTCACCAATTATGCTCCAATCAGTATTTCTAGAACCTTGGGTGCATAAAGTCCCCTTTTGACTACAAAAACAGACAAGCAGCCATGATTATCATTGTTGTTGATAACGCTTATGCACACGAACCCACAAGGAACAATGGAGTTTGGATTAAATTGTACGGAGAAATCGTACATGCGGGGAGCTTTCGAAAATAATTATGAAATCTACTATATAGTCAGCTTTTTTTTCTAAAAGATCCGCAAAGCAAAGCAGTCTAGCCTACATTCTGATTGTTAGTAACATGAGAAAATGTAAGAGTAACTGTATAATCGCACACTCTATAAATGATCCAGAAATTTTTTTTGCGAAAGAGAACAGATCTAAAGCATTCAGTTGGTACAAAGGTGCATGTCTTACAAGTGTGTTTACTAATTTCGACTGCGCAGCAGAACAGACTGACAAGATATCAATTAAACCTCTTCCAGAAGAAATTTTTAAGAAATGAGTTCAAGCTTGACGGCCAAAATTACGCGCAAATCAGCGTAAACATGAATACTTCAGCCATTTAGGGATGCAAGAGCTCTGCAGTTTATAGCGAAAATCATTTAAAAAAGCTTGGAGTCAGATGATCACAACGCTCAAGGGCACTTATAGTGTGAAATACGCGGCGCTCCGCGGAAAAATGTGAGTGAATTGGATGATTGTCTCATTAATTATTCAAAGCATCAAAACGGGTGCAGTCCCTAGGGCATCGTTAAATTAAAACACGCATCCAATAACAGCTGCTGCAGACGTTACTTTTCATTTTTTTTACATAGATTTGAGTTGCCCCAAACGGTATACACGATTCATGACACGCAAAGACTGGGCGCCGTTGCGCCGGTCAAGATAGTTCGTGCCTGGGAGAGGGGGCAGACGGTAAGAGAAACGAAAGAGCACTGGATTAGTGAGACGCCAATAAGTCCGCAGTCTTCTTTATGTGCTATGAATCGCCTGTAGCTTAGTTGACCAATTTTACTACTCATCATTTCAGCCATGCAATCTTTTCAGCTGAATTCCCATATTTTTACCTTGGCCTATCAAAAAGATGAGTAACTGATGAATGAAGAAAACCTTGGGCAGTACGCAGTGGCGGTCCTAGGATTATCGTTCGGAAGGAGGGGGGGGGGGAAGGGAAGGCACGACAGAAAAGTTTGGTGAATGATGGCGTCAGCGCACAAAATTTTTGCGGGCACGTAAGCAGCCATCCTTTCAGCTCCTCCCTCAAAAAATTTTTTCACGTGGCTAATCTAGACTTCTTGAAAATTTCTAAAAATTAATTCAATAATTTGCAAGCATAAACAAGTCACTTGCATGATTTCATTAGCATGTCAGTAACTTTCAAAAATTTCGCGAAATTCTTGGGGGGGGGGAGGGAGGGGGAAGAGGTATGACTTCCCTCTCCGCGCCCCTCGTTCTACTAGCAATATGGCTGGTTCTGAAGACGCAATCGAACTGCTCTTAGGATTGCACTCCAAAAATACTTTTCTGTCAATCGCACAAAGACATCATTATAGTTAGAACGCGAAAGATTGGGTATTCCTAATTGTCATTAAGCACTTTTATAGTGAAGACTGAGTGACAGACTGAAAAATGTTCCTGACTGTCGACATGGCCACTAAACGTGCATATAGGTACGCAGATGTGCTCGAGAAAAGGAAAGAGCAGAACAAAAAAAATTGGTTATTCATGTTTCGCGAAGTACAGAATTTACCAGGGCGTTTTCTATGCTCCAGCTAGAGTTGCTGGCCTAGCCGTCTCCTCGGCAAGTTCCTAAACAAGCGGGATCCCGATCTCGAATTTAGGTTTATGTGACGGGGGCGCTAGCGTCAGCGCTTGCACGGGCTGTGACCTTCACAGGAACCCTTCATGAACAAGAAATAGTAATCTTTCTGGCCTGGAGGTATCATAGGTGCGGGTAACTTGGCACACATTACAATTGCCAACGTCTTCGCAATCTCGCAGGCCATTCATAGGTTTGATGGTCAATCCGTATAATCTTAACCGCAATCACTTTCTGTATGGAATTTTTGATGACGCAGATTCTCCAAAACAGTGACACTCGCATTTAAACCTGCCATGACTTCGAGAGCTGGCGCGCTAGCCGATGGACCACTCAATCAGTCATTGTTGCTTTAGAGCAACAGCAGAAACGCACAGATAAGTGGAGCCTGTAAGAGAGCATGGTCAATACAGCGTGATAGACTACGGACTTTGAAAGAACAGCTGGACATGGACACGGATACGCGAAGGTGTTCCAAACGAGATTTTAGAGTTTAGAGGAAATACGCTGTTCACACTATGATATTATTTCTTCACCAGTGCGTCAACTCTGCTTCGCAGAGGCTCGCTCTGGCTCTACTTTCTCTAAGCCTTACTCATTCCGGCATAATAATGACAATGAAACTTATCTTAGCAGGCTATCGCAAATGATTTGTAAATAACTATTCATTCCCAGAGCTTTCTCGTGTAAGATCGGTATTTTGGCGTGGATGAAACTTTGAATGAAACCCCAGAAGAATAAATGCAACTTTGAATCAGTTTTTGGACTTTTTATGGCTTGCCGGTCGTCATAAGGACAATAACCACCGTGAGATACATCTCTGTGCAAAAATCTTCATAAATGATCAGGGAAAATCTTGGAATTGATTTTTTCAAAATTCTTTTCGGCGTCATTTTCGTAAAGTATTGACTTTAGTTCAATTTTCTGGGCTGAAGTCTATGGCCTTCAGCCTATGGCTTGTTAAACATATCCATATCTTAGCAAAAAGTGGTGGTTTAAGCCCAATTTTGCTGGCCAGAAGCCAAAAGAATCCGTTTGACGCGCAATTTTTTAGAGATACACTGAGCGGATCCGCTCGTGCTTTTGCACAATGGACATGTTGATAGCATACGCTGAGCAAAATTTGGACGGATGTTGGCTGGAACATGCTCTACGAATTTCGTAACAGACGGACACACACACACAAACACGTAAACAACTTTTAGCCCGTTATTGGTTTTGAATAGATAATAATACAAGGATAGTTTTCTAGAAGCAAGTAAGAATTTTCGGTTCTTTAAGCTGAGACATAAATTGTGAAATATGCAAAACCAACTCACAGGCACTGTCAGCATCTCGACATGGTGGGGCACATCAAGGTTCTGACATCTTTAGCTTTCAGAAGAGCATACTTTTTTATGCTCTCTGACCTGCCGGCAGCTACTACCTCCGAGCATTTCGAGACGAGATGCCGGCAGAATATGTCAAAGGTTGCCGGCAACACCTCCTGTCTTCCTTTTTTTTATCAAGAAGGTTTCTAAAGCCTCCAGCCGTGCTTTGATCCTCAACTTTCAAACTTTCCAACTAGAAGTCTTGATGAGAAGTTCTTGCCGATCTCATATTAGATGACGACGGGCTGAAAGGGAGATCTACTGCTAGGTGAGGGAGATTACTACTTGCCTTAGTTTCCTACAAAAATTATCGTAAGGAGAGATTGATAGAAGTAAATACTCGAATGTGTCTAATGTCTACAACTCGGATTGAATATTCGTTGTAATCTTGGATGGGAATATGTATTACAGAATAAGGACGAACATCTTCGCAATTAAATGCTTTCACTACCACATGAGTTCTCTGAATGTTGCTGGTCTAATTCCAAGTGAATAGACATGTCAAGCACATTATCCAAGTTGCGAGACCGTATCACAAAGCGATTTCAATTTTTTGGGTTTCTCATTTTTCATTTTTGGTTTCGAAAGCAAGCGGATTTCGAAGAAGGATAGCTTCGCATTCTATTTTGAAGCCTGGACGACTATATATCTAGTAGAAGTGAGGCTCTCCGATGTTTGCAGAGTCTAGCACATGCCAGCAAACGGAGGTAGTGTAGTTCCTGCGCAGTATCCATCATGGAGCAGGACCACTGATGGCACAAGGTACGATTATCATAAATAATAATTGACAAAGTTGAAAATAAGAGTTTAGAAATGGATTCCGTGCGGCATCTCATTTGCTCTCCACTACATGTAGAAACTCAAACCCATCTTTTATTACGAAGCGTCTGTCGGAAGAAAAATTTGGTGATAAGTCGCAGTCATCAGCACGTTCTCTCCCATGTGAACACAGTTTGGAATCGCGCCCTTCTCCGCGTCGGCCACCAGGTAGCTGATAGCTGACCTTTCAGCATAAATACTATTGGTCCATCAGCATTTCCTCTTGTTTTGGGTACATTCGAGTACGGTTATACATATGGAAGTAGCAGCTACAGACACGATCAAGCAACATTTCTCGGCACTCCACGATTGCACACTCGCTACCAACCGGACTATCCTATTTACCGGTGAGCGGTTTCTTTCAAATATCACTAAAAGCCAATTACAAAACTTACATGCCTTGATTCAACATCCGTTAGAAGTTGCAGAAACACTACAGCACATCCTTACAGCACATCCACATTCACCAATCTATGGTTCCATTCGAAGAAATGAGGCTGCAGTGATCATCATTTCATTATTTAGGGATCGGTCAGAGTTTGCCAGTGTTGCCGGTGTTGAAAGTGTTGAAAGTGTCGCCGGTGTTGAAAGTGTTGAAAGCGTTGCCGGTGTTGAAAGCGTTGGATGTGGAAACCATAAGTTGCAGTTTCATTCCTCCTCGAGCGATGTTACTGGCTGGTGAGATCGTTTGAAATGTACATGGAACATGAGTAATGAAATGCGACTGAAACGGGAAATGCTTTTACATGCAAAACAAACTCATACAAAAATTTGGAAAGTAGAGGACTTCTTTTAGATAGGCAATCTTTGAATTTTGAGAACGCTGCTAAAGTCCGAGTAATGCGTGTTAGCTGTCGCATCCGGCGTTTCTACGATTACTGAGTACAAGACCTACATATGGGAGGTCTTGCAGCGTCTTAAATATTGGGGATTGCCTATCTACAGTCTGCCCCAATCCCAACCAAGCCAAAATTCATGGGGAGAGCCCGCTTCGCTGGGGTTTCGCGGTCACGCCCACGACCTGCTTCTCTGCTCTCTCTTCAATCCTTCTGCTCTCTCCGACAGCGCGCATATGCAGCGCAGACCGCTAGCGCTGCGAGCTCGCAAATTTACACCGACGGTTCGGCCTGATCCCAATTGGAGCAGATTGTAACCAACTCTTCTACTTCCAAAAACTTTGTATGAGGATTTTTCGCATGTGAAAGCATTTCCCATTCCATTTGCATTTCATTACTCATTTTTCATATACATTTCAAACGATGTCACCAGCCAGTAAGATCGCTCGAGGAAGAATTTAACACCGGCAACACTTTCAACACTTTCAACACCGGCAACGCTTTCAACACTTCCAACACCGGCAACACTTTCAACACCGGCAACACCGGCAAACTCTGACCGATCCCTTAATACCATTGAAAGCGGTAACACTAGTAATACTATTAATACAAGCAACGTAGGTAACACGGGCAAAACGGGTAACACTTATAACACGGTAACGCGAGTAACACGAGCGACATGGGTAAAATGGGTAACTAACACGGGCGATGTATGGCCGAAGCGTAACATCAACCCCATGGAGAAACCCATGAGTCGTTCCTCATACAAAATTGTGAGTGGAGAACGACTCTTTAGGATCAATCTCTCGCTGAGTCATGCTATGCGGGTACACAGAGTACGCTTCGAACGCAGCGGCGGCGTACACTGTACGAGCACAGGCGCAAGAACGAGCTGTCTCGCATGTATTTTTGGAAATAATGAGGCGGAATGATGTAGGCGGAGTGCTAAATCTTTTAGTAGTGACAGAACTTATCTGCTAAAGTAAGGACCAAGAAAAACGGGTATGCTGGTCAAATGGCAACCCTGTGGATAGACAAAGTTACACCTGGTAAGCAAATAAATTTTCTATCTCAACCGAAAGAGAAATCTAATATACTACGAGAAAATAAATAGCTGGTTGACAAATTTTAATTTTCCCAAGACTGGCAGCGCTGTTTTTTTTTTTGATTAACAAATGTGTTTGGCAATAAAGCAAAGTATTCAAACATTAGGTTGCTCATTTTTTTCCTTTAAAATGAATATTTTTGCATTCTTATTTAGTTTTCAATGCGATGTTATAGCTTGACACTTTTACGCGCGACATTGTTGTCACTGTACTTATACTAGTTTCCAGGCATGTCAATCGCTCCTTACAAGAGACGCGCCGGCGACAGTTCTCACCATTCATGCCGTTCCAACGATATACAGATAAATCAAGCAAAGAGCAGCATTATGACGGAAGATGTACATGTTTGAGATTAGCATGCTAGAAAAGTTTGATTTGTTTCCAGCTTATAACTGCAAAGAAAAACATAGGACACGAGAGTTTCCTGTAAATCATGACTGGGACGACGCTGAGACGCACAAACGGCTCGCCCATTCAGGCGAGTGCTTTTAATTTCCCCCAATGGGTCCACAAAATTATAAGTGTCTTACAGCGGACATCAAATTTTTGAGTCATTATAGAGGTCTGGCAGCAGTATTTTTTTCGGTTCCAAATTCTAGGGCGCATTTTGTATTTCTGCTCGTCTGTTTAGTATCCTTGCAGTTTTTGTTTATGCCTTTACTAGTTTAAGATTTCCTTCAAGAGAAAACTTGGAGTATAAATTCCCGTGGTCCGATGCATCCGGCTTATCAGCATCACTCAGCAACAAACTTCTTCAAAGACTCTTGGTATTAGCCATTGCCACTCTTGAAGTTCATTGGGCGGAAAACAAGCGACCTTCTCTTTACACACACTGACTCTAACCCAAGCCATCAAACCAGAGAAGGAAGACTCTTAGTATTTAGTCATAACCGCTCGGTTAACGAACCCCTATTCACTTGTCTTCTGTCACTTGTATTGCTTGATGCCTTGTGTATTTTGGCAACATCTAAGTAAAAACTATTCTGTGTGAACATCAAAAATCATCGAATTATTCGACTAAATAAAGAGGTCACACTCAGACATTGTGCCCATACTTTTCAATCAACCCGGAGACATCAACAAATTAAACGGAATTGTTTAGTTTATTCGGCTGGAGCATTAATCATCTGGAAAGAAGATGGGTACTGCGGCTTCCTGTGTGACAAAAACACCCTGTACGGGAACTTGCACTTCTATGCGGACTGTGACACAATTATAGAGGAAGACGACAAACCGTTAGAAGGTCTATGTGCGGAACGTCTCAAAAGAGGTCAACGAGTGGGTTTTTGAGGGCACTGTCCAAACAATCTTTCTGTTATTCTTTGCTTAGGTTGAGATCGAGGCAGAGTTTAGTGAACCTGATCTTGCCGACCCAGACGTTCATCATCTGGTTCATGTGGACAAGATATTAAAAATCGGAGGTGGTGAGGAGACATTATATTGGATTATCAAATCAATTATCAACAATACTATTGAACCAAGCATGCTAGCGCGTTGTTTCGAAGTTCACAGCATAGTGTAAAATTTACTGCAGAAGCGAGTTTGGAGAGAGTTTGTCAAGAAGTCCTCGTACCACTGACAAAAAAGAAGTCTTCTTCGTACTTCAAAGCTTTGTGCGAGGTAAGCACGTCGATCCGATCTGCTGCCAGATCAACTGCGAAGGTATCCGTTATGTAAGAGGTATTAAAACATCTACTAGATAATCGCCGGGGGCAGGCGGTCCGCAAACTCGCGCTTTTCTGCAAGCGGGCAGCAGAATTTTGGGGCGTGGCCAAACTTTCAGACTTCTTTTACGGTCGCACTCAGGAATTCGCGCCGTGCGAGCATCCTCCTATAAGGGCTAGCGTACAAGCGGTCGACATAAGCCTAAAGCCTCTGTGCGTGCGGCAAACAGCTGAAGCGCCGTCCTAGCGGCAGGCAATGTTACCGTGCAAACGGCATGCAATACAGTTCGAGCGAGCGGCCAGCAATGCGTCCGTCTTATCGGTCGGCAATACATGTTGCCGTGCAAGCGGCCAACAGTGTCTTCTATTTTCTGCTCACCATTTTCACACATTGTGAGCGTAAACGGTACCTGTGTGAGATACGACGCAGTGTTTAGGCTGGCTAAGCGTTGACACATAGGTTATCAACATTTTCTTTTACCAGCAAGGCTGGAATGAACCTGTGTGAGGCTACAGTCATCAAGAGTGATGGTGAGGGCTTTCCCATGAAAAGTTTGGCAATGCTGCAAGCATCGATCCGTGTTCCCAAAATGTCTAAAGGATTGATCTATCCAAGAAAAATGGTCAAGATATCGCAAATACATCTACTCCAAGAGCAAGCGAGCGGCCGACTTTCTCCGCGCAAGCGGCGAACGCTAGAGACCGTGCGGGCGCCCAACGATGACCGTGCCAACGGCCCTTGACGACCGTACATTCGCACACACCGACGAGCGTTTGTAAGGTCGTCGCTGGCCGCCCGCACGGTGCGAGTCCCTGAGCATGTCCTGTCAGCAGCAATACAGCATTTTCTGCAAGCGTTCGGCAAATAATTTCCTTCAGCGGGCGCTGGCCAAACTTTCAGCGAGCGCTCGGACCCTTTTTACGCAGTTTCGGGCGTACGCCGAGCAAAGGTAAGATTCTATCTGGCAGAGGTGTGATGGTTTAATTACTCGAGTTAGGTACTTTCTCTAGGCGGAAAGTACCCTGGGCAAAGCGGTCCTTCACAAAGGACTGTGCGGCCCCAACAATTTTCCACAATCTCGCGGAAAGCCCGCAAGAATGCGGCTACTGGGCCGCAACTTATCCACAGAAAGACCGCGATAGTTCTCCGAGCATTCCAAAATTTCACCAAAATCATTCGAAATATCTGCAAGCAAACCGCAGCAAATCAGCGAACTATTTTTTCGGTGCTCCCCTGCTCATGAATCGCATGGCCGCCAACCCTCGGCGATTAGAGTAGCTGTTGGAAATTTCTGGCAGACAACTTTCACTGTAGCGAAGTCTGTAGAATGACTTTACCGTGCGCTAAATGATTACTTATGAAGAAGCTATGGATCCGAAAACTTACAAACTTTTCTTCCCTAAACTTCTACCCCTTCTATGAATAATTAAATCGTTTTCGTGTACGTTTACGAGCAGCCACATTTTCACCGTGACGGACAGAGGAATTCTGATCGGGAGGGGGGGGGGGACTACAAAAAATGGTTTTTCTAATGACGTTTTTCTAGCTGCGTCCTCCAAAAGGAGTATCGCAATGCTTTTCTGGTGGGCCTGTAATCTTAACCTTGAAAGATGTGGGAATTAATCTCGGGATTGACACTACCCCTTCCCCTGGTCGGACCGCCACTGATGCTTGTATATGACTATCTGCATATCTGCGCACAATTAGCAACCAAAACTATGGTCAGGCGAAAACTAGGACACCCTAGTATTCAGAAAAGGAACAGTGGTATGACCATGTGTACATGTTTCAGCACAGCTCCATTATAAATTGAAAGCAAATTTTCCAGAATTTACTACCTCAATCTATAAGAAACAATATGTGTACAGTCAGTTGCGCACGAACAGTTAGGTACCCTTGTGACGCCGCCCAACTGCGCGCGCAAAATACCGGCATTACTGGCGTGGCCACTTGTTCAAGCGCAATTTTACCGCATTTTACCTGCAGTGCGAGCACACTACCTTGAGCGGAAAATCTACTCGATTGCATAAAACACCCAAAAGTCCATCTTATATGAATTGTATATAGTCTTTCTTTGATCAGTGTATTTTGATGGCATTTCATTTGCACGCCTGGTCTGTTTACATACTCGAAAATGCACAATCCTGTGGCCGTATTCATCAACGAACCCCGAGGGTTAAACTAACTTTGGAGGGTTAGTTTAACCCTGGAAAGCCTTTAACCCGTATTCATGAAACACAGGGTAGGCTTAACCCTGAGGGTTAAATCTAACCTTGAGGGTTAATTTTACCCCGAAAGCGACTAACCCGTATTCATCAACGAACCGTGAGGGTTAAACTAACCCTGGCGGGTTAAACTTACGTGATTCATCAGGGTTAATTTAACCCTAGCTCAGAGCAAGGTTAACTCTACCCTAACACTTCATACAAACATTTACTCGCATCTAACAGTTTATGGAAAACGATCAACGAGTATTGTAGTATTTAGTATTAGTGTTGTCATAGTAATTAGTTTCGACCTCGTTTTATGTTCATATTCGAAGTACATGAAACAATGACTTCGCGAGAAACAGAATTCGAGCTTTGGTGACAAATGAATGCGACGAGGAAAAAGTGGTTGCGCATTCCACTCTGAAAAGTGCCAAAACAGAAGAACCCCTTTATGATAACACGCATTGACCCTTAAAAGAGTAGCACAAGCCCGGTATTAAACGAACTGCGCAAAAGTAGAACTTACACTGCACAATTGCACACATGAAAATAAACTCACGCTGTGATATTGGATGCTGCACAAGTATGCTAGAGATGTATCATAAAAACTAGTGTTAGAAGCTTATTCGTTGACTATACTACTATAACAGTGAAAGAATGGAAGTATAAAGTGAATTTAGCCCGTACTTAGGCATTCTGTGATGTGAGTTTGCACAGCGCACGCGTAACTGGCGCCTTAACTCTCCAGGGTTAGTTTAACCCTCAGGGTTGATGAATATGGCCACAGGTTCGTTGATCGATACGGGTAGATCGCGTTCCGTGGTAAACCCTAGCCTATGGTTGATGAATACGGCCAATGAACCCTGAGGGTTAAACTAACCCTGGAGGGTAAGCTTAACCCTCAGGGTTCGTTGATGAATACGGCCACTGATATTCTTTCCTTTTGCATTTCAATCTATCACTGTAATAGGCTCGCACGCATACAATTGCCTCTTCGAATATGAAGTAGTGTGCGTTCGGCGCCTGCATAGAGGGTATTGAAAACGCCGAATCCTTTATTCTTCATTATTCCAATCTGCTTCAAAGTTTGCGTCAGCAAAGATTTTGGCGAACTGCTATGGTAATTTCAAAACCGCTTGAGATTGTCAACAAGTGGAGGTATGAGACCTTTCATCACTGTCTAGCACCAGGTGTGGACCAAGCAGATGATGCGCAACAATGATTTTCTTCTTCTGTATATGGAATGAGGGTGCCCACACTTTGCTTGAATTTGATTCGCACAGTACGAGGTTGACAACTCATTAAGAATTACAAAGTTAAGGCTTTAGATTTGTATTGGAACGCGGGGCTGTTTTAGAGGTACCACTCATTGTTGCACATGCTTCCTGATTTTCTATCTGTGCAGAGAGATTACATGATACTGATGTGTTTGCAGCTAAAACACTGACTTGTGTCAAAGGATGCCATGCTATCTCAGTGCCGCGACTTCTTTTCGATGTTGTGTCAGGAGTGTATTACTGCCAAAACTTAAAGTGAAAAATGCACAGTCTAGCTAAAGGAGAGAGAGAGAGCTGAGAATTTGAAGAGTCAAAATTAGGGTGTTCCTTTTGCACGGCAAGCCGTATTCTCTGTAGCTGCGCGCTTCAGTCATGTCCCTCCCTTCTCCCCCTTTTTTCATTAAGTTGGCCTACGTTACCTTGCTCCGTTTATCCCTGATGCACTATGTATTTAGTGCCCAGCATAAACCTTATTTGTAGTCGATCTGTGAGCGTTCATACCTTGCCTTTACCCACCTTTCTCAATATAACCGATGCAGGAAAAGCAGTGATGTATACAATACCGCTCTCAGAACGTGCAAAATTTCCGTGAATGTCGCACAATTCCCGGAATTCCGCGAAGGTCCGCGACATTCCCTGAATTTCGCGACATTTCGGGAATTTCGCGAAATTCCAGGAATTTCGTGAAATCAGCGCGAATCACGCAAACTACGCAGCGCCATAACTTCCTTCGGAACGAATTTATTCTGAAGCCGAAAGCAGCGTTGTGTTCAGCTCGTCAAGGCGAATCTTTCCATATACAGCATGTCCTCGATATCCCGTTTCCAGTTTTGTCAAGTTCTTCTGAGAAGGTCGTTTCGCAAGGATATAAGCAGCGCGTATCCAACATAAAAGATACCAGTAAGCACTGTTCGATAGTACCCTTTCTGTAGATTACAGTGCGCTAGAAAGTGGCCGCAGACTTTTTTCCTGGAAAAACCAAGCGTTTCCAAATTCTACTCGCCGTAACTTCCTTCGGAATAAGCATATTCTGAATCCGAAAGCAGCATTGTACTCAGCTCATCGAAACGAATCTTTTGATGTACAACATGTGCTTGATATTTTGATTTCAGTGTTCTCAAAACTTTCTGCAGACGTCTCTTCGCAAAGGTGCGAAGCGACGCGTATTGCCCCCAGTAGATTCCAGAAGGAACCCTTCGATATTACTTTTTCTGCAAATTATGGCGTGCCAAGGCGCATCCTCATGAATTTTGCACAAAATGTAAAGTTCGCGTACTTCGTTGGAATTCCACCTTGAGTGGTTTATAACATTCTGATTGCAAATATTATGTTCACTTCGCCCAAGGAATCCTACTGTATTGAATATGGTGGTTGGGTGTGCTTCAGCTGCTTAATTGAACATCAAAGCAGTTTCGCAGCTAAAGCTCAGATCTGTCTAACTATCAAAGCCAACGCGGAAAGATTCATTAAGCGAATTGAACTGATTTGATCAGCATGATATACAACCACTCGAGGTGGAATTCCAACGAAGTACGCGATCTTTACATTTTGTGCAAAATTCATGAGGATGTGTTTTCGTAGGCTCGTAACTCGGCGATTTTCATAGACTGAAGCCTGAGTCATGCAGCATTCGGTAGCGCGGTTCCTACTGATTCTAACCTGTAAAATCAAGCGGGCAAGGTTTCTGACAGATACGCGAGAAGTGCGGGCAAATTTACGCACTTTCGTAGTGCAGTTACAGTCGTCTCACCATATTCCTGCAAAGAGACCCTGTATTCCTCAAAGACCACGATTTTCGTGAAGAGCGTGTCCGAAAACCTCTGTAAGCGAAGTTTCCTTGCAATTCGAGATCATCGACATTTTGAGCAAAATCCACCGGCGAGCTTCAGGGCGTAGAACGACAAAAAATGATTGGCGCGCCATAATTTGCAGAAAAAGTAATATCGAAGGGTCCTTTCTGGAATCTACTGGGGGCAATACGCGTCGCTTCGCACCTTTGCGAAGAGACGTCTGCAGAAAGTTTTGAGAACACTGAAATCAAAATATCAAGCACATGTTGTACATCAAAAGATTCGTTTCGATGAGCTGAGTACAATGCTGCTTTCGGATTCAGAATATGTTTATTCCGAAGGAAGTTACGGCGAGTAGAATTTGGAAACGCGTGGTTTTTCCAGGAAAAAAGTCTGCGGCCACTTTCTAGCGCACTGTAATCTACAGAAAGGGTACTATCGAACAGTGCTTACTGGTATCTTTTATGTTGGATACGGTTATATCCATACCTTCGATACATAGAGCCATGTACTCTGGTAACCTTCACTTTGAGCGTCATGGTAGAACACAACCTTCATCTGGGGAGAAGTATGAAGTCATCCGGGGCGAAGCCCCGGAAATCATGACATAACTAATGACATAACCGTATAGGGATGAATTTAAATGAGGCAAATATAGCAGTGACATTCAAAAGAAGCTCAAAAAACCGAAGGATTGCGTTTTTATGGGCTTTTTTGTTGAGAAGAAGGTTTTTATTTAAAAATTCAATCAAAAACTAGGGCAAAATTTCTCAATTAACCTTTCTTTGAACTGCGGTTGAATGTTGGAAGCTCATTAAAGCCGCTAGTGTTCAATAAAAACGAAAAACTGCGCTCAAATCTTGCGCAAAGAGTCGCCATATGAATGCTGGACTATCTCGTTATGGAGTAATTTTCAAGACCCGCGACTTGTCAGTGCTCCTGGCCGTCTCATGAGGATCACAACGATATATAATTTTGCAGGGTTTCGTTGAGACCCTGCGAAGATCCACGACCAGAGCCAAATGCCCCTTCGGCTCTGGTCTGTCTCCGCTGCTCGTCTGCGTCTCCGCGCGCTGCGCGCTAAATCGCTACCTCAAATGCGGGGCGCGGGGCATTTGGCTCTGGTACCCTTTTCTTCGTTGTTCGGAGCCCAATTTCCATAATCTATATATCATATTAAAGTTCTTGATCTCTATTTTCACGCTGACAACGTCGCGGAACTTCTTTTTAGGATTTAAACGAGAAATCCTCGAAAAACGGCGTTTTCGAAAACCTCTTGTTTTTTCTTCAGTTTAACTTTTTTCACTCGGTTTTTTTGTACATTCGATAGGTCTTGTTTCTGTCTATGATGTAGACAACGTCGCCGAGCTTACTTCTTTGCTTATGTCGGTTTTTTTTTGTGAAAAATACAAAAAAAGTGTGTTTCTCCTTACCTTGTTCTCTTTCTGTGCTTTTGCAGCGAATTTTTTCCAGCGTGGACGATACTTGCTCAGAATGATGAGGGGAAGAATCCAGATAATGTCGCAGCGTACGAAACGACTATGCGGGGGTGAAAATTTAAAGGACGCATCAAAAATCAGATTGGCGTCGATGTGCAACACAACTTTACAGACGTGTTTAACATGTTCAATTCAGTTGTTGACAAGTTCTTCTTCTTTCGGTCTCCCAACTAACGCCACAGCTAAACAGCGCTTTTTTTGACTGGAAAAGAACTTTGTTGTTGTTGCCACCCAATTTAACCGGCAATCCTGGAGACGAAACTCTGCGTTTCCAAAATTTCTAATTTAATTTGTATCTCTAAATTTTCGTCTATTTTTCTGAAACAATCTTCACTTTTTATAGGGGGCAAGAACTCAAACAACTATCACTTTCTAGCCCTTGTCTCTTGACTATCGAAGGTATGGTTATATCCTTGCGAAACGACCTTCTCAGAAGAATTTGACAAAACTGGAAACGGGTTATACATGCTGTATATGGAAAGATTCGCCTTGACGAGCTGAACACAACGCTGCTTTCGGCTTCAGAATAAATTCGTTCCGAAGGAAGTTATGGCGCTGCGTAGTTTGCGTGATTCGCGCTGATTTCACGAAATTCCTGGAATTTCGCGAAATTCCCGAAATGTCGCGAAATTCAGGGAATGTCGCGGACCTTCGCGGATTTCCGGGAATGTCGCGGACCTTCGCGGATTTCCGGGAATGTCGCGGACCTTCGCGGAATTCCGGGAATTCTGCGACATTCACGGAAATTTTGCACGTTCTGAAAGCGGTATTGTATACATCACTGCTTTTCCTGCATCGGTTATATTGAGAAAGGTGTGGTAAAAATGCTAGTTTTTACTCTGCGAAAATGTTCCTCCAGGTATGAGAGTCAAAGCACGACAATTTGAAAGTTTGTCGGCACCTCTTTCATGAGACAGAGCATGAGTTCAAGTAATCACGACATGTATGCATTGTTCTTGTTTGATTCGGGCATCAACTTAGGAGTTCTCCTAATATTTTGTAACCTATAAACAATTAATGAATGTTTGCCTTTGTCGCTGAATGACTACAAATATTTGCCAAATGACACAGGAGAGTATTCATTTTCACACAACGATTGATTACCAACTATAAACATTAATTTCCTATTGATCACATGCAAAGAAATAAAACATGAAAGAGCGCCAGAACAAAGCAAATAGACCTTACAAAAAGACCTTACACCTTATGAAAAAAGAGCCAAACATTTTTTCAGACGGGTGATCTGGTTTACATCCATCCATCAATTTTTCTGTCGCAAACGCTATTGGAGTTTATGAAGCAACATGCAATAAGATGTCGGCCACAGTATGTGGAAGTAAGCAATTTTATCCTATAACATTGTAGAAGCATGAAAAGTGACGAATTTCATTACATTTCAAGACCTGTTCTTATTGCATCTCAAAGCAAGTCCATGTTAGTCGCTTAATCACATCAGCTACAACTTCTTGTTCTCGAGCATTCCTCGCTACGACAACTGCACAAGCGTTCACGCTAAATAAGTGCTTAGAGACTGTTTCCAAGTAGATTAAACAGTAGCAATTCCCTTGCGCTCCTTCATACGGTGACAAGGAAGTAAGCAATTACAATCAAAGCTTCTTTCAACTCTACCTGATATCTAGTCATGGTGTGTCCTCATTCCCTCTGAAATTTCAATCACAGTTCCATTGGACGACTTCTTGATTTTGGTGGGTCGAGAGTACAGTTGGTCAGGTCAACTAACAAGGAAAGTCACCTAACTTAGCTCGGCTTTTTGGCAAGGGACATATATATATTCTAAATCAGCTTTAAACTCTGATTCCAAATATGCTACAGTCTGCTCCAATCGGGATCAGGCCGAACCGTCGGCGTAAATTTGCACGCTCGCAGCGCTGGAGATCTGCGCTGCATATGCGCGCTGTCGGAGAGAGCAAAGGGACTGCAGAGAGAGCAGAGAAGCAGGCTGTGGGCGTTACCGCGAAACCCTAGCGACGCGGACTCCCGCCATGCCAATTTTGGCCTGGTTAGGATTGGGGCAGACTGTATTCTTACCTGCCGCGCAAAACTCCGAAGCGAATAATGGGCCTTTTTCTGCGCGAAATGGCATATCGACTCACTGGCATCGCGGCATCATCACTTAGTACTGTACTGATACTAATGCGTTGAGGTCTTTTTGGTAAGAAAAGATTGGACTCGTGTCACTCGATATCTCAGCACCTTTTTCTTGCTAATTTTTATATACTCCCAGTCTTCCAATGTTGAGTAGTATGTCAATATTGCGCATAAAAACCCATAACTCGCTTCGTAATGGTGCGCGCCAGCCAGGAATGGCTGCAATTTCGGAATAGTGCTTAGAGCGTTTTAGATGTTATATGTGTCTTGCCAAAAGGCCGAGCTAAGCTACGGAAGCTTTCCTCATAGGTGCAGTGGTGCTTTCCTAATGCAACACCACGTGAAATACAAGAGTTTATAGCCTAGAAGAATGTGCTAGGTGAAGAAAGAGAGACAAGCTTGTTTCTGAAGTATTGCGAAGCAATCGTTGCAAAACTCAAATATACCGAAATCAAGGCATAGGTGGTCCTTTCATTGCCATCACTGTGAATATTCTGCGCGTTCAATTTCGCATAAATAAGAATAAAGTACGCGCACGGCATTCTAACAACACTGAGTCACAAATAGCAATGTTGAGTGTAGGAAATTTGCATGGCTGAGGTTACTAGAGTAATCATCATGATGGAATTGAAAGACGAAGGATCACGTCACAGAGGCAGGCCTTGAGTAAATCCGCGCGGCTGAGTGGTCTAGTGGTATGATTCTCGCTTAGGGTGCGAGAGGTCCCGGGATCGATCCCCGGCTCAGCCCGACTTTTGCCACATGACCAAAGATCGGAAAAGATGGAATTGAAAGACGAAGGATCACGTCACAGAGGCAGGCCTTGAGTAAATCCGCGCGGCTGAGTGGTCTAGTGGTATGATTCTCGCTTAGGGTGCGAGAGGTCCCGGGATCGATCCCCGGCTCAGACCGACTTTTGCCACATGACCAAAGATCGGAAAAGATGGAATTGAAAGACGAAGGATCACGTCACAGAGGCAGGCCTTGAGTAAATTTGCGCGGCTGAGTGGTCTAGTGGTATGATTCTCGCTTAGGGTGCGAGAGGTCCCGGGATCGATCCCCGGCTCAGCCCGACTTTTGCCACATGACCAGAGATCGGAAAAGATGGAATTGAAAGACGAGGAATCACGTCACAGAGGCAGGCCTTGAGTAAATCCGCGCGGCTGAGTGGTCTAGTGGTATGATTCTCGCTTAGGGTGCGAGAGGTCCCGGGATCGATCCCCGGCTCAGCCCGACTTTTGCCACATGACCAAAGATCGGAAAATATGGAATTGAAAGACGAAGGATCACGTCACAGAGGCAGGCCTTGAGTAAATCCGCGCGGCTGAGTGGTCTAGTGGTATGATTCTCGCTTAGGGTGCGAGAGGTCCCGGGATCGATCCCCGGCTCAGCCCGACTTTTGCCACATGACCAAAGATCGGAAAATATGGAATTGAAAGACGAAGGATCACGTCACAGAGGCAGGCCTTGAGTAAATCCGCGCGGCTGAGTGGTCTAGTGGTATGATTCTCGCTTAGGGTGCGAGAGGTCCCGGGATCGATCCCCGGCTCAGCCCGACTTTTGCCACATGACCAAGGATCGGAAAAGATGGAATTGAAAGACGAAGGATCACGTCACAGAGGCAGGCCTTGAGTAAATCCGCGCGGCTGAGTGGTCTAGTGGTATGATTCTCGCTTAGGGTGCGAGAGGTCCCGGGATCGATCCCCGGCTCAGCCCGACTTTTGCCACATGACCAAAGATCGGAAAAGATGGAATTGAAAGACGAAGGATCACGTCACAGAGGCAGGCCTTGAGTAAATCCGCGCGGCTGAGTGGTCTAGTGGTATGATTCTCGCTTAGGGTGCGAGAGGTCCCGGGATCGATCCCCGGCTCAGCCCGACTTTTGCCACATGACCAGAGATCGGAAAAGATGGAATTGAAAGACGAAGGATCACATCACAGAGGCAGGCCTTGAGTAAATCCCCGCGGCTGAGTGGTCTAGTGGTATGATTCTCGCTTAGGGCGAGAGGTCCCGGGATCGATCCCCGGCTCAGCCCGACTTTTGCCACATGACCAAAGATCGGAAAAGATGGAATTGAAAGACGAAGGATCACGTCACAGAGGCAGGCCTTGAGTAAATCCGCGCGGCTGAGTGGTCTAGTGGCATGATTCTCGCTTAGGGTGCGAGAGGTCCCGGGATCGATCCCCGGCTCAGCCCGACTTTTGCCACATGACCAAGGATCGGAAAAGATGGAATTGAAAGACGAAGGATCACGTCACAGAGGCAGGCCTTGAGTAAATCCGCGCGGCTGAATGGTCTAGTGGTATGATTCTCGCTTAGGGTGCGAGAGGTCCCGGGATCGATCCCCGGCTCAGCCCGACTTTTGCCACATGACCAGAGATCGGAAAAGATGGAATTGAAAGACGAAGGATCACGTCACAGAGGCAGGCCTTGAGTAAATCCGCGCGGCTGAGTGGTCTAGTGGTATGATTCTCGCTTAGGGTGCGAGAGGTCCCGGGATCGATCCCCGGCTCAGCCCGACTTTTGCCACATGACCAGAGATCGCAAAAGATGGAATTGAAAGACGAAGGATCACGTCACAGAGGCAGGCCTTGAGTAAATCCGCGCGGCTGAGTGGTCTAGTGGTATGATTCTCGCTTAGGGTGCGAGAGGTCCCGGGATCGATCCCCGGCTCAGCCCGACTTTTGCCACATGACCAAGGATCGGAAAAGATGGAATTGAAAGACGAAGGATCACGTCACAGAGGCAGGCCTTGAGTAAATCCGCGCGGCTGAGTGGTCTAGTGGTATGATTCTCGCTTAGGGTGCGAGAGGTCCCGGGATCGATCCCCTGCTCAGCCCGACTTTTGCCACATGACCAAGGATCGGAAAAGATGGAATTGAAAGACGAAGGATCACGTCACAGAGGCAGGCCTTGAGTAAATCCGCGCGGCTGAATGGTCTAGTGGTATGATTCTCGCTTAGGGTGCGAGAGGTCCCGGGATCGATCCCCGGCTCAGCCCGACTTTTGCCACATGACCAAAGATCGGAAAAGATGGAATTGAAAGACGAAGGATCACGTCACAGAGGCAGGCCTTGAGTAAATCCGCGCGGCTGAGTGGTCTAGTGGCATGATTCTCGCTTAGGGTGCGAGAGGTCCCGGGATCGATCCCCGGCTCAGCCCGACTTTTGCCACATGACCAAGGATCGGAAAAGATGGAATTGAAAGACGAAGGATCACGTCACAGAGGCAGGCCTTGAGCAAATCCGCGCGGCTGAATGGTCTAGTGGTATGATTCTCGCTTAGGGTGCGAGAGGTCCCGGGATCGATCCCCGGCTCAGCCCGACTTTTGCCACATGACCAGAGATCGGAAAAGATGGAATTGAAAGACGAAGGATCACGTCACAGAGGCAGGCCTTGAGTAAATCCGCGCGGCTGAGTGGTCTAGTGGTATGATTCTCGCTTAGGGTGCGAGAGGTCCCGGGATCGATCCCCGGCTCAGCCCGACTTTTGCCACATGACCAGAGATCGCAAAAGATGGAATTGAAAGACGAAGGATCACGTCACAGAGGCAGGCCTTGAGTAAATCCGCGCGGCTGAGTGGTCTAGTGGTATGATTCTCGCTTAGGGTGCGAGAGGTCCCGGGATCGATCCCCGGCTCAGCCCGACTTTTGCCACATGACCAAGGATCGGAAAAGATGGAATTGAAAGACGAAGGATCACGTCACAGAGGCAGGCCTTGAGTAAATCCGCGCGGCTGAGTGGTCTAGTGGTATGATTCTCGCTTAGGGTGCGAGAGGTCCCGGGATCGATCCCCTGCTCAGCCCGACTTTTGCCACATGACCAAGGATCGGAAAAGATGGAATTGAAAGACGAAGGATCACGTCACAGAGGCAGGCCTTGAGTAAATCCGCGCGGCTGAATGGTCTAGTGGTATGATTCTCGCTTAGGGTGCGAGAGGTCCCGGGATCGATCCCCGGCTCAGCCCGACTTTTGCCACATGACCAGAGATCGGAAAAGATGGAATTGAAAGACGAAGGATCACGTCACAGAGGCAGGCCTTGAGTAAATCCGCGCGGCTGAGTGGTCTTGTGGTATGATTCTCGCTTAGGGTGCGAGAGGTCCCGGGATCGATCCCCGGCTCAGCCCGACTTTTGCCACATGACCAAAGATCGGAAAAGATGGAATTGAAAGACGAAGGATCACATCACAGAGGCAGGCCTTGAGTAAATCCCCGCGGCTGAGTG